CTTCATTTTAGTAAGCAAAGCATAACATAAATCAATTGTGGCGATTACTTGAAGGACATTCTTTTAGCAAGCAAAGCATAACATAAATCAATGGTTGTGATTACTCAAAGGACATAAAAAATGTTGTTTGCTGGAAGTAGAAGGAGATAAAAAAAATGGGAGGATGGCAATGGTGGTGATGCTGTGGTTCTTCGTGCAAGCATTTGTGACTCATAAGGGTCCAATTGGTGATTTTTGGAGCACCTCGAGACCCCATTTCACAATATAATCATTCATGCCTCTGTAGCCGTCACAAAACACCTTGTATGACATATATGTAGAAATTGAAGTAGGAGGGTAGATTGGCCATTTATATAAAAAGTGAGGACAAATAAGTAAAATACCATCATGGATTTTAATCCATCACTCAATTCCCACCTCCATAGCTAGTTTTTCCAAATCCGTGGGGTCCACGGATTTGGACCTCAAAAGTGCATGGGCCCCACGGATTTACACTCCCTAACTCCTTCAAGCAAACAATGGACTTTTGTCAAAATCCATGAAGCATGCAAATCCATCACAAAATCCATCAACAAAACCCTCAAGCAAACGAACCCTAAGTCCATTAAGTACCGATATAGGCGAATTTATTTGCATATGGAATTTCATAATTTTTTGTGGGATTTTTTTTGAAAGGTCATTTTCCTTGGATTTTGAAGGTTACAGATCACGAATTTTTCCTGAGCCTATTCTTAACTGATGATTAAGTCCATTAAGCACCGACTTGGGCGAATTTCTTTCGGGTCCATATGTGGCAGATTCCAAAAAGGTACCATCACAAATTTCTGACAACTTTTCTGAAATTTCTTTCTTTCGATTTTGAAGGCTACAGATCACGGATTCCGCGTGAGGCTATTCTCCACCAATGATGAAGTCTACTGATCATATTCTCCACTGATGATTAAGTCCATTAAGCACCGATTTGGACGGATTTATTTTCGGATAGCATTTTCATAATTTTTTGGGTGATTTTCTTTTTTTGAAAGTCCATTTTCCTTTGATTTTGAAGGCTTCAGACACGGTTTCGGCCGAAAGCTATTCTTCAACAATGATTAATTTAATTAATCATAGATTTGGACGAATTTCTTCCGGATCCATTTTTGACAGATTCCAAAGGGGTACCATGACAAATTTCGGACGATTTTTCCAAAATGCATTTTCTTTGGGTTTTGAAAGCTACAGATCACGGATTTGGCATGCGGCTATTCTCCACCAATTATTAATTCTATTAATTGTTGGTTTGGGCGAATTTCTCTTGGAGGTCATTTACATAAATTTTTTGGGCTATTTTTCCCTAGAAAGTTGTCATTTTTCTTAGATTTTGACAGTTACAGATCACGAATTTTGCCTCACGCTATTCTTCACTGATGATTATGTCTGCTAAACACCGATTTGTGCAGATTTGTTTCGGGACAGTTTTGGCATATTCCAAAAGGGGTACCATCACAGATTTCGCGTGATTTTTTGAAAGACCATTTGCTTTGGATTTTGAAGGCTACAGTTCCCCGATTCGGCCTAAGGCTATTCTCCCGTGATCTCCACCAGTGATAAAGTCTATAAATTGCCAAGTTGAGCGGATTTTTTTGCATACGGCATTATCATGAATTATTGGGTGATTTTTGTTTGACAAAGGAAGATCTTGCATTGCACTATGAATGATTGGTTACAAAGAGGAACAAATGGATCAAACTGAAATCAATCAGCGTAATGAGATCTTGAGTAAACGGTTGACAAAAGACCGTGCTTGAGAGATACATCAAGAAGAGCAAAGCATAGAGTGAAAACAACCACCCAAAATTTCAGAACACTAGAACCAAAAGCAGTACTTTCAAAATTCCTTTGGCATCCACACTAAACATAGTATAACCAAGATAAGAGACGGCTCGTCTAATCGCAACGAAATTCATGGCTTGAGCAAAGCAATACCATATGCTGCCTCCTTGGGATTGCTCGAAGACATCCATCACAGTGAATCTCAGAATTGAGATTTCATGGCGGTGGAGAAGGATGTGAAAAAATTGCTCAGAACTAAAAAGGCAGAGGAACCCGAAGCAGCTAGAACAGGTCCAAGAGCGATGAGGAATCAGACCGAGCCACCAACCTTCGAGGAGACACTAAACAGCCACCGCAACCAGCTAGAGGAGACTCTACCCTCCACAATCCAACGACCGCCCAAGCAACGGACAACCAGCCCGGGGATGCCGAAAGGGGAAAGTAAAGAATGGCTTCACCCTAAGACGGTGAACCCACCAAACTTGGGAAAACAACCGTCTCAAGCTGCAACATCCAGTTCCCTCTTTGAGCAAGCCCACAACATGAACCTTAAAAATTGAAACGAAGAGACAAGCTCAACAGAAAATGGAATTGAAAATGAAATGCCATAACGGCTGGAAAGGAGAGAAAATAACAGGAAAAATCCGGGGAAAACTGTCTAGAGCAGAAGCAAGATGAACAAAAATCGAGAGAAGGATTAAATGGGTTATCGCCGGTCACCATAAGTTGTCGGCGGCCACCCCTGGGAAAAGGGATGTGAAAGAGACTAAGAGAGAACTAGCTTGGACCCTACCCTTTGGGCAGGTAATTTCATTTTTCAATTTTATGAGATTTGTATCATTTTTATAGAAATTCTAAATCTAATAGTTAAACTTATTAAAATTCAAAATGACACCCAAACAGTGATGATTTAAACAAATAATAATAAGCATGGTCTATTAGAGTTACGTAAAGTTAGCAGATCTATACCTAATCAAACATCAACGCATTTTAATTAAGAAAAATATTTTTTAATCACTAATTTGAAGAAAAAAAATCTGTTTATACAAAACGGAAAAAAGTCCCAACTATTCATAAAAAAAAACTCAATGTTTTGCATGTATTCTTCTACCTCTTCCCTATCATCACCACCGCACGGACAACATCTCATCCGCTGCCACCTCTTCCCACCGCCATCTTCCCGTTCCTTCAATCCCTCTAATCGCTCTCTATCTTTCTTCTTATTGGGCCGGGCCAATCTCTCGCCTCATCTCCAAAGCTAGGAATTTGGTCGAACTTTCCGATGCAGAACTCGTCGGGTCTTGAGGTTGGTGCGTCATAAAATAGGAGTGGATTCCTCCAGAGAATCTTTTGAAGGTATGGCCACCGGTTTCAAGATGGATGGTTGGGCTCGTATTCAAAATCTGCCTCGAGTATATGTCGAGTTACCAGTTCCAGATCTGGATTTCTGGGGGCGGCGCCGACACCAGAAGATGGTCGGAGGAAGTTTCAGAATAGGAATCTATCATTCAATATTAGGAATGAAGAGATTGTAGAGGTGAAAGGGTTGGGTAGGTTGAGAAATGAGAAGTGCGATGCATAAGGGGAAATCCACAATCTTATTCGGAGGGAGACGAAACTGTCAATTTTGATTTCGATGGACCATGAATATGAAGGCGCACTCAAAATGGATATCTAGATTATGGATTGCTGGTTTTTCCGTTGCGGTGTAGAAGAAGAAATGCGGTGAAGGAGTATGCAATTTAATGGGAAGGCATGATCCAAAAAAAATAGAGGAACACAACGTTTGGAAGTGAACGGTTTTGGGAAAAGAAAATCTAATAAAAAAAAAGAAAGCCGAAAGTTGCGGAGAAGCCAAAGAGGCTGACGTGGATGAGGGGTCTTTGAGAAACCCTTTTATATATTTTATAGATAGATAGATAGATAGATAGATGAGGGCGCAATTTTGAAAAAAAAAAAAGGTAGAGAGAGTTACCTACCAATTCCCATAGGTTCATTGGATGATTTTTGAAAGGTCATTTTCCTTAGAATTTGAAGGATACAGATCAAGGATTCAAGCTAAGACTATGCTTTAATAATTATTAAGTTTATTAAGCACCAATTTTAGTGAATGTTTTCCGGGATCACTTTTGGTAGATTTCAAAGGGTGTCATCATATATTTCGGGCGATTGTTTCTAAATGTCATTTTTCTTCGATTTTGAAGGATACATGCTATTCTTCACCGTTGATTAAGTCTACTATTGGGCGGATTTTATTTTGAACCATTTTTGGCATATTCCAAAGGGTATCATCACAATTTTCGGTTTTTTCGAATGATAATTTTTCTCATATTTTGGCAGGTTTTTGGGAATGCTATAACTCACTGATATTGAAGGCTATTCATCACATATTTTCTGATTTATATCAGTTATTATAGCCGGATTGGGACAGCTTGACTGAGCCAAGAACTTGATATAGTAAGAATATGCCAGAAATCGAAATGGTACCATATATATAAAACCTTGCCTCTGCAGTCGCCTCGCCTCTCTCCAATTCCTTTTTTGGATTTTCATTTTTTCAGTGGGCGAACAGAAATCGAAAACCGGTGCAGTCGCCTCGCCTCTCTCCAATTCCTTTTTTGGATTTTCATTTTTTCAGTGGGCGAACAGAAATCGAAAACCGGTTAGTCGGTTCGAGCGGCACAAACGTTTAAGCATTTTGGCCACTCGCCAATCGGCTATTCTACTCATTGCGGCTTTTGGACTGATACGGACCAATCTGGCCTACGGATGTCGGTTTTAGCGGTCTGACCAGCCATCTCGGGTCTGCTTTAATAACATTGGTTAAAAGCCAATTACTTGTGTTAGACTTTTGTTCGTTTGGTTCTCCAACCGTACTTAAACCTAAACTCCCGATCTAAGCGTGACGATATGGGAAGAGCAAAAGACGAATGTGAATGAATATGACAAAACCCACGACTGTTATTATCCATTACAAGTGTACTCTTCACATTTTCTTCCCCTTTCTTTTAGGGCTGTAGTCTGTAGAGCCGGTTAACATTCGATACCGTAAAAGAGCGGGGATCCAGGAGGGCCCAAGGTTGATAGCGCGGAATATGTGGGAAGGGAAACCCTCCTATAGAGCGAGCCTCAGAGGGTTCAGAACGAAAGGAAAGGGAAACCAAACCTTTTTTTCCCCCTTCTCTTTTGTGCAGAGGACGAAATGCGTGAACCCCAAAAACACACTCAATTCTGTTTCAGACCACTGCCGTGTGTTGCGTTTTATACGTGCATGGCTTTACGTGGTTGATCATCCATCCATCCACACTACCCTTTTCTCTCTTCAAATTTTTTACCTTTCACTTCCATCTCCCGTCTCAATCCCGTTCTCGTTGCCCAACTTTCCAAAATCCGCAATGGGGAAGGGGAAAGAAACACTGCACAAGAGGAAGAAGCGAGGGAGAGAGGGATCATCATGGCGCAAAGAGACCACCGCCTACGGAAACTCACAGGCCAAAGCTTTCAAATCTTGCTCATCCTCCACCAATAAAGCTAACAAGGCATGCTTCAAATCATCATCGTCCACCGAGAAAGCTAACAAGCCAAGCCATTATCATCGTCATCATTATCATCGCAGCGACGATGACGTCATGAGATGCACCCGCAATGATGACGAAAAGACAGATGGATGTGGATTGTCGATTGCATCGGAGGAGAACTACATGGGGGGATTAGGGGTGTTTGAGTTCCCCTGGCTGAAGGAAGGTGTCGGCGGCTTAGTGTGCAAGACGGAGGAGGAAGATGAGCGATGGTGGGGCTTGGACGGTTCCTTCTCCGCTTGCCTCAACGAAATAATGTATAACGCATCGACTGGTGCTGGTGGAGGTGAAACCGGATGGTGGCCTGACATAGCAGCGGCAGGTGCCTTTACCGCAACGTCGATGGACAAGTTTGAGGAGACAGCATCCGCTTGGTCATCCATCCTCGAAATGGAGGCGGCATCAACGACTTCCAATGGGAATCATCATGTGGATTTGCAGCAGCAACCTGCAGCTTGAATCAATCTCAACCTAGGTTCCAGTAAAACCATGGATATCTTCCATCAAGCCTGCATCATCAATCAATCATATTCTAGTCTTTGGTTGTTAATGTAGTAGTAGATGTAATTAACTTTGGCGCTTAGAGAGAGAGAGAGAGAAACCATGTGTTCAGTGTGTTTATGTTCTCAAACAAACCCGCTTTCATCTTCTACATTTCATCATTAGTCCAAAACTTGGCCAATCTTGAGAAGGGGCACGCAAAACCGAAGAGACAACCCTTCAAACCATGTTGTAATGTAACTAAATCAAGAGCGAGCAATAGCAAGAATTGCAAAGAACAGAACGTGTGTCTTTCACAATCCTTAACTCTGAAGAAAGAAACAATTGTGGCAAGTATGAGATGGAGGCAATACAACATTTCTTCCCCATCCAACTCAGAGCATGGTTGTTCATTATATGTTAACTTGGGGTGCCTGTTTATATTTGATAGTACAACAAAAGGTTATGCAGTGCTTTCTCGTGGTTATTCACTACCTGCAAGCATAAAATAACATATGAATGAGAACATTAGATAACCCTTTCCTCTTGATTTTAGCTTGTTTAAAGGTAACCAGATGTTCTTTTCTATCCACAAGATTTTAGTCGATGAGTAAGCTGAATATCAAGCCTGTTTTAGTCTAACCTGGAGCCAGAATCACAGATTTCCCAGTCTACTTTAGAAAGGTCAAGAAATTTGATGGTACCATCCTCAAGCATGATCTGCGGTAATAGAACAAATCACAGAACACAGTCATGATGCCTCATTTTTGCAATTTACACAACAATACAGAGGCCGGAGGGGGGAACAGCTAAATAAACGAAAGAACATGTTACATACCTTGTGTTTTCTAGAATAATTGTCAAACTGTCTAATAATCCCGAAACTTCTGATGTTGAAGAAAGGATTTAGAGATGATCAGTGACAGAACCAAAGGGTGAGTTAAAGGAACTCAATACGATTTATTGAACACATCAGATAAGACATAGAACCTATAAGTACCTTTCATTTCTGGGGTAGTATATTCTGATCACCTTGCCAATGCAACTAGGGTAGGACTGATGGCTATCATGAGCATGCCCCGAACTCCCTGGATCGAGGAAAATGAAACTGTAATCATCAGGCTGACAAATTGGAGAAAAGGTTTACCAATTCAATGAGTTTTGAGGAGTGGGTAAACGGACCACAAATTTGAGAGTTTACCTATTTGCAATCTTCCATTTTGAAAAACCTTCACAAAATAAAATTCTACAAATCAGTACGAGTACAAACTAAGGTAGAAAAAAGAGGAAGAATTTTAAACTTTTGCCTCCAAATGAAGCAGCAGCTCAGTACATACATCCTTCCTGGACAGAAGTGCTTTGAATTCAGGAGATGCAACTGCAACCTGGCATGCAACAAACTGAAACGCTGCATCTGACGACATCTTATTAGGCTTGGTAGGTTTAACACCTAGCTTGCGCCTACAGTCGGGAGCCCCACAGTGGCAATCTTGATCTGCACCAAATTGTACAAACCTGCTGCCTTTATTAGATTGAACTGAATGACTTCATTGGAAAACAAGCACAGAATGACAAGTTTAAACAATAAATATATAAGAGAGGATGATTATATCCCTAAACAAAATGAAAACTTTAGAATTGAACAAAGCAGTCCTACTGATAATCATAGGTAAGATGCTCCCCCCTTTTAATGTCCCGAGTTGCAAATATACCAATTCTGGTTTCCCCATCAACTATCCTATAAAAGAAAACCAACAAACAGTTGATATCATCATAAAAAAGGTGCACCAATAATATGATAAGATAACTTTAATATCAGTACCATTTCTGCATCTCGGTATTAGGAGAGCAACTGTGATTTATGTATCTTGACTTGTTTCCCTTATATGTGGCATCAATAACCATGTCTCGGTTAATTTCACATAAATAGAAGTTTGTTTCTCCACGGTGTTTCATGTTCCACAGCCTCTCCTCGCAGGTCTTATCATCAATAACTGGATCCAACAATCACCACAGAACAAATAATAGATTTTCCAAAATGCTGCTGCAAAGACAATAAAATAACAGGAGAGAACAAGCTATGAATAAAAGAATCACCTTCTCCGACATATTCTATCACAAACTCTCCTTGTTTAATATCTTCATCAGCCACAATCCCAACTCCGCATTTGTCAGTCTACAAGCAGCGTAAATATTTAGCAACATGTTCTGATGGTAAGAGATTACCTCCAGGTTTTAGATCATTAAAGAAAAGGACAGGAGAGACTATAGCAAGTACATGAAGCAGAATCAAAATCCAGGACTATTAATATGAAATGGAGGGAGTGTTTCGAGGTCCAAAACCCACATATCAAGTTCCAACCAAAAAAATATCAACATGAAAATGGAGAGGGAGAGAGACTCAAAAGAGCAGTTTCCAATAGTATCACCAGTCTGCGTAAATTTATTACATGTTGCATAAATCTATCCCCCTCTCGGCAACCCAACTCTTAATCAATCTTTCTTCATCCACAAGGTTATTATATTGTCTAAACACCCAGTGATATCAAATACATATACCTGTATCATCTTCATCTTTTTCATAGGCCGTTGCTGGAACGGTTTGTTGAGACAAGATTTCCCACATTTGCAGCCTGAGGAGCAACTGGACAGCAACATCCTATAGAACCATGCAAAAAACAAAGAGACTCAGAAGCATGGAACATGAAACAGGAAGCAAGTAAATGCATTGTGTTAGAAACAACCTCATTATTCTAGTCCATGCAGTGGCCTCACAATTATTGTACAGGGGATGCAGACCTATCCTGAACTAAGACAGCTCAACAAGAGTCATCATGAACGAATTTGAAAGTACACGTCTCTGTCTCAACTCGATTACAGTGAATCTGGAACTTCAGGTTCGAGGACTAACAGACGAAATTATATTAGATCTAGAGTCGCAGTTTCATGGAAGTAACCTAAAGATTGATTCTAAGACAAGAGTTGGACAGCAAATTCTCGCAACTAGCACTCTATTCGTAGCTAACCATTAATGGCAGTAAATTAGGCAACAAAGATAGAAGAAGAAGTTTTCAATCTCTGGATCAGAGTCTATGTGGATAGGCAAGACATTGATCAACTCTTATACCAAACTATTATACCACTAGGTTACAAGCAAAGTGGAAAAGTACACATTCCAACATAAAGTAACTATGATAGACAAGAACTAACCCACAATGGCAATCTCTATCACACACACCAGTAGAACCTGGTGATGCTGTGCAAGAACAGAATATTCCATCATCCTCAAGGCGCCTTTTAACTCGCTTGGTAAGATATATGTCTTGGTGGCGTCAAGATAACAACAAAACCAAACATTTCAGAGCACGTGGCATGTTCAATGATACAAATCAGTTTCCTATAAGAAATCATATGCTATGTATATATGGCCTTGAAGTAGCATGAAGAGCAAAAGAGCAATCGGAACCAAGCACATGAGCAGGGGGAAATGACAGGATACTCCGTTTGATGAAGGTGTAGGGGAGAGGCTTCCCTTTGCCAAACCAATCTGGAAGCTCAAATTCAGCTGGGTTCCCTATTTGCTCCAGCAGTACATTGAATGCCTGTCTGAAGCGGCCACGGTCAGGGCTCTGTTAACAGGCAGTCACAGTGACACCAGCTTTTGTTAGAATGAGAAGATTGTAAAGTGTCAGAAAAACAGCAAATTTTAGCAAAAGTTTAAAGTTGAATCTTTCAAATACTCTAAAGGGGCAGGATGAAGTATGAGGCTCTACCCCAGTACACAAAAGAAGTGGTTTTACAGTTAACCCATTAGAAATCAGTGAATGCTAAGAAAGGCCATGACTGCATAGCAAGATTCAATAATGAAATATACTCTGAAGAATCGCTCAAAAGAAGGATGAAGGAGAACGGGTCACTGTTAGTAACCACAGACAAACATCCTAGATTCATTACAGAAGATTAAGGCGACAAGAGGAGATGAGACACAAACTGACAGTTGTTTGTTTTTGTTTTTGTTTTTAGATAATGAGAAACTGACAGAGTTAAGAGAGGGTGGGTAGTAGGAGTCAGCTTCTAAATCCAAGCGAAACAACAACAAACAAAAACACAACCTAACCAACTTTGGTTTGCCGAATTCTATAGGTATGGCGGGAAAACAAAGGATAAAATTCAAAAGATAACGCAAGAAGTGAGAAGAAAAATCACCTTGTCGGAAGCGGGAATCGAAGACTGGAGCAGCATGAACAAGCCGGAAGGTGGATTATGACTCGATGAGACAGGGGCGGCGCGCTGCGGCAGAACGCAGCGAACGCAAACCACCAAGAACCCAGATCCTGCAACCTAATTGTGCTTATGTTAAGCTGAAGGAAGCAAACAGAAAGAAAGAGGGAAACAGCTGAAGAACTGGTAAGGTAGAACTAAGAAGCAGGAAGTGGGCGAAGAGAATTTTGAATCCGAGCTAATAATGGTGAACGGAAGCAGAAAGCGAGACGGGCGAATTCAAAGCTGACGACCAAGTCGGAAGAAGATAGTACGGGAGTGGCGCGGAATTGGAGTTGGGAGTTGGAGAGGGAGAGAAGCTTACTTGGGAAGAGAACAATGTTGAAGGGAGCTGTGGAAGGAAGACTAGGACTCTAGGAGTTGACAGATCTCAGAGAAAGAAGATGAGAGTGGGAGGTTGAAACTGAGAAGACCGCACAAGACAGAGAGAGACAGATGGGAAGAAAAGGGAGGGAGGGAAGTTACGAACACCTTTAGGCTTTATCTCACACCGAAGTCGAACCCCAACTGATCCGCTTCACTCAACTGGGCCGGGCTGATGCTGGAGTCAAGGGCACAGTGGGCTTCAGATGTGCCAGTAATTCTCGAGCTACCCACAAGTTTTCCTCTGGCCCAAAGGCTAGAATCGAAGTGGCTCCGGCCGACGGGTGTAGTTATTAGAGCCTAGATGACAGGTTAGAGTGCTAACTCCATACTAACTAGTCTAATCATCGTCTATTCTTTTAAATTAAACTAGCACCGGGCCCGGCCCCTTGGCCGGGAAAGTCTAGACAAAAAATATGTTCATATAACATGCTTACAATATAATAGGAAGATACGACATATCACTGAAAAAAGAAATATAATTGTTCAAAGAAGAAAAGAAAAACATACAAAATAATAGGTTTTCAATACTTAAAAATGGCAAATAGTTCAAGATTAGAGTTGTTTTTCCTAAAACATACATAATGAACCCTCAGAAGGAAAGAAAAAGATTGGTCTCTAACAGATTTTAGGAATGAGATCATTTGTAACCCTAATTAATGTCTAACAGATACACCCATATTATTCCTCTTCATAGAAAGTAGAATAAGGATCAGCTGGTTTGGAAGCATGCTAGTCGTAGTCCCCGAAGATGCCTAGAAAATAGTCCGGGTTCTCAAGAGAGCTTCAAACTTAAGGCTGAGTGCAACTAATTTTGAATTACATATGTTTGTCTTTGTCAGTGTTGCTGATACTTTCACTGACTACTTTGATTGGTAAGTTGACCATAAATAATAGGGATATACCTTATTTTGACCTTGAAGTTTGTCGTAAAAGCCAAACTTGACATGAACTTGCAAATAAGACAGTTTTCAAAATTTTGAAAGAAATGGACAAATTTGGACTGAAATTTATGTTGTTCGTTAATATTAAAAGTTAAAAATTTCTTCATCCATTCAACATACAATGCTCAGGTGGTTGCGATTGCGATGTGGCTTCCATGTCATAGGGATGATACCTTATTTTGGCATGAACTTGATGTAAAAGACAATTTTGGCTCGAATTTTCAAATAAGATAGGTTTGTTTGCACTTTGAAAGAAATGAACAAATTTGGTCCGAAATTTGGGTTGACCTTTAATATTGACAGTTGTGATAGAGAGGTTTCGGTTGCGATGTGGCTTCCAAGTCATTTATTTATAAAGTCTAAAAAAGTGAATTTTTCAGAAGAAAAAAATACCACAAAATAGGACCCTTAGTATATCCTAATATTTTCATATTTACTTGCATAAATCATATTAAAAGGAAAAAGAAATTGATTCAGGCCCCCAAAAATCCCAAAGCACGAAACTATCTCTCTTTGTACCCCTCTCATCAATATTAACGGCAACCTAAATTTTGGGTCAAAGTTATTCATTTCTTTGAAAATTCGTACAAAACTGTCTTATTTGAAAGTGTAGGGCAAAATAGCATATTATACCTATGACGTGAAAGTCACACCACAGTCTCCTTAACATTGTATGTTGAGTCATAAAAAAAAGAAATGTTTGACCCTCAATATTAATAACCGACCCAAATTTCGGGTCAAATTTGTTAATTTCTTTCAAATTCGGACAAAACTATCTTATTTGAATGTTCATGCCAAAATTGTTATTTACATCAAAGTTCAACACAAAATAGGATATTATCCCTAAATAATATAGGAGTACTAAAAATAATGGACTAATGAAGTTCAAAATGTTTCAAACAACATACAACCCTGATAAAACTGCAGTCCAACCAACTAACATTTAGAACAAATGACTTTCGAGCAGGATAACACAACTATAAGTATGGGTGGTTCTATCATATTTTGATTAAGAAAATTACATAAGGAAATGATATATAGACCTTGAATGATATACTCTGAGTATGAAAATGATGTCTAGTGGCCGGAGCTAGGGACATGGTACTATACCTTAAGCCCCTTACAGATTAAAATCTAGGTCTTAATTCTATGAAGCTCATATACTAAGATCAATTTTATTAGAAACAATAATCGAAGGTCGTGTTTCATCAAAATACATCAAAAAAATTATGTGCATAATCTTAGTGTTTAGGGCAAGGATTGAAAACCCTTAACGTACCGGGGGTTCGACTAAACCAGTAGGCACTATGTAGTGTTGTGAAACGACTGAATCACGGTTAACCACAGTTTTCGCATAAAATACCCTCCTGCCAACTTTTTCGGTACAACCTCTGATGAGGTTTTATAATCCTTGGTTTAGGATCTATGATTTAAATAGTTAAGACCTAGAGTTCACTCGTCAAGGGTTAGAATATAGTGTCTCGTCTCGAAATCAGGTTAATTCAAAGTCTAGATTGCCATTTCTTACCAAGGGTATGAGTTACCTTTTGATTTTACTCAAAATATGATAGAAAACACTACACACACACATACTGGTATACTACAGGAGTATAGTATACTGGTATACTCCACATGATCTAGACATTAGATGTACTTTGTTGAGCTCCAATCAATCTCAATGGTCAATTATAATTTTCCATTAAATTAAACTTTGGGTTTGAGTTTAGAGAATCGGGGCCTGGGGTTTATCCATTAGAGGTTAGGGTAGAGTATCATACCCCAAACTCGGTTAAAAATCATGGTCTAGATAGAGATATCTCACGAAGAGTACCTGAAGTATAATATACTCCAGGAGTACACCAGTCTGACCCATATATATGTGGTTGTGTGTGCACATATATATTTAATATTGTAATTTGATATGCAATATTCGAATAAATGATATTTGGATTGCGGTTTTAAGATTATCCTCCATTTATAAGATAGACTACCATTATTATTGAAGTCAAAATAAAATAATAATAAATGATAATCAAAGATCCAACACTAAAAATGCTTAAGAAAGACTTAGTGGGGTAGCTAACTGTGCTGGAAAAGTCATTTGATTTTCAGAATTTTGCCTCTTGTATGTTTTTTTTATAAATAAATGCAACAAATTTGTTTAGTCTTATTGGTTATGACTCTTGTCCTTGTTAGAAGAGACCCGGGTTCAAATCTTGACACTGATATTTTTTTCAAATAAAAAAATAAACAATTGCAATGACGAAAGTACCCTTCCTACTTTCACTCTCGTTGCAGAAAATTTGAAATGGAAGAAAGTTGAGTCATGAATCTCCATCATATATCTTATAGATGTGACCGTGGTTAGTAAAGAAGGGTTTATATGGTATTATTTTATAAAATACATGTTCTCTCTTTCCGGTTCATTACTCATTTTCTACCCAAAAAAAATACGGCTTAATTGCAAGTTTGGTCACCCGAATTGCTTAAAAATTTCACGTTTGCCACTCAAATTGATTTATTCCATTTATAGTCACTCGAATTAGTTGAACAGTCCAAGTTCGGTCACTCTCCGTTAACCTCCGTTAGACTCCGTTAATGACGACCGTTAAGTGATGACGTGGCTAACAGAATGACACAGTCAGCACATTTAAACATTAAAAAACGGAGACCCAACCCGACCCGACCCAACAGCTCAGCCTTACCCGCCCTGTCAGCCATTATTGCCCAACCCGCGAACCAACCCAATTAATTGACCCTAAACCCAAACCCTCAGCACGGCATTCTCGATGGCAAGAGGCAGTCCGTCTTCATGAAAGCCTGGGCTCACACTTGCAGGCAGATCGTCGGAGACGGAGGCGTCGATTTCCCACCGCCTCTACCGAAATCGCTGGCTCTGGTCTTCGATCGAACAGGCATCGTCGACTCGCGGGAAATTGCGGTTGCGGTGGAGTATTTGGACGATTGGTTCCGATTTCGGCTCAATCTGCCGGGGATGGATCCCAATCCAAACCCTAGAAGCTTGGAGCTGCTATGGAGCTTGGTAGATGGCGATTCCAAGAGACTGCGAGCGACCTTCGATTTCTTGAAAGAGAGAATCAAGAAGCTGAAGGAGTCTCTGATCCCCAAATTCCCCAACCCTAATTACCTATCGAGCTTCGTCCTGACCCTGGCGCACACCTAGGTTTGCCTCGTGAAGGCGAAAGGCATCAGCGGCGGCGCGACGATGATGGGCGGGTTCACGGCGGATTTCAGATCTCGATTGGAACCCCCGGCGCCGGGGAATTTCTTCGGCAATATCGTTTTCCCGTACGAGGTGGCTCTGGGAGGAAGAGGAGGAATTAGGGTGGAGGGGAGCGCGGCGGAAGCGGGCGTGGCCGGTGCGGTTGAGGAGGGAGATGACCTTCTTGAACCTGGAGATGGTGAAAGAAGCAGGTGGAAGAAGCAGGACTCCAAGAGTTTGTTTCGCCATTATTATCATGTTGAGGAAGGTGAAGAATAAGGAGAAGGAAAATTGAAAGAAATCGAAAGCGAGGAAGAAGAAAGTGAGAGGGAGGAACCAAAAAAGCCGGTTCTTCGCCATGGTCCTAGAATCGCCATCGACGGGCGGTCACGGCATCGCCTTCGTCATCTACCCCACCATCGAATTTCACCCACGCCGTCGCCAGCCAGCACCTGGGTCTCTTCAATTCCACCAACATGGGCAACGAATCCAACCGCGTCGTCGACGTCGAGCTCGACGCGATGCGCAGCCCCGAGTTTCAGGACATCGACGACAACCACGTCGGGCTCGACCTCAACACCCTGACAAGGAATCGGTCGCGAATCTGAATTCGGCGGCGGGGGCTGCAACAGGGAGAATGGGAGATCGAGGGGAAATCCCCCGGCGGCGGCGGAAGCAGTGTATAAAGGAAGAAGAAGAAGGGTGGATGGGTCACGGGTTTGATTTCTGGGTGGGTTAATGGTTTTTTTTTAGGTTGGGTGGGTTGGGTTGTGTTTATATGAGGTGACATGTTTTTCTGACGTGGCGGGTCAATTTTTGTTTTTTCTTGGGTTAAAATTGGGTGATTAGGCATCTCTATTAGCCATGTCAGCAGTTAACTGACGGCACTAACAGAATCTAACAGAGGTTAACGGAGAGTG